GATATGACAGCCTTCATCTGTCCAAACACAGCCTCGGAGTGACCTTGAATTGGGTTAGTCCCTCATTCTTCAGTCAAACTGATCGGTTCTGTCACTGCAGTTGTCCTGCTGGGGAAGTTCCCCAGCTGGATATGGGAGAAAAGACAAACAAAGCATTAAAATTGCCACCACCTTCCCCGACCTTGTTGGCTTCCTTCTGTCGGTCAGAGCTGCTCGTTTCGGTTGGAGAGAGCTGTTTTAGTGCTGGGCAGCACATGGCTCCTGTCTCCTGCCTCCCGCCGCAGCAAAGGCACCAGCTGCTGTTTTGTAGCTACTGATTCTTGTGCAGAAACCCAGACCCAGAAGCAGTCCGTGCTGCTTGATCTGGGCTTTGCTGAGTGATCCCAACCCTAGATTAGAAATCGAGTCCAACTGGAAGTAACGTCAGGTGGTTCCTTGCGGTGCCTGGGGCAGGTCTCTCAGCCTGCCTCTGCTGCGAGTGGGAGCAGAGACCTGGAGGGAAGCAGAGATCTTGTGTCGTTAGGGGGTAGGAGGCCACTTCCAGTGGGACTTGACCTGACACGTGGGGCTTTGGGACCCACCGTGCTTCTCTGTGGTCTTTGCCATCGGTGTCACACCAATCGCAGCCGTCCTTATGCCGGGCAAGCAGGGCTGGAGGGGAGAGTGCTGGGTTGTGGGACTGAAAATGGGCTGATCTAAGCAGAGAGCGCCTCCGTGCCGCTTGTCGGAGAGCCCTTGAGTGATAAAAGCCACTGTGCAAGCAGCGCAAACGATTTGTCCTGCTTTCTGTAGACTCCCAAGACTCCTGGCTTGCGGCCAATGGAGCACAGAGATATCTCCGCAGTGCACAAGCTCTTGACGGAGTACCTGAAGCAATTCCACCTGACACCCATCATGAGCCGAGAGGAGGTGGAGCACTGGTTCTTACCTCAGGAGAACATCATCGACACCTTTGTGGTAGAGGTGAGGGGGCAGGAGCAAGGCAGGGGGGTGTTTTCCTGGGCTTCTGCCTCCACTGGAAGAGTGTGTGGCGAGCTGTGGGAGCGATCGGGGAGATTGCTGCCCCGGGCAGTGAGATGCTCTTCCAGGCTGGGAGGTTTGAGCTGCTGGAGGATGGTGCCTCTCCATCCTGGGCTGCCCCGAGTCTCCTCGCAGGGAGCCCACACATCACTCAGACTGGCAAAGCCCCTCTAAGGCTCCGGACGGGCTTTATCCTGGCTCTGATGTGTTGTGGTGTTACTTCTGGCTTCCAGAGCGCCCCAGGGGAGGTGACAGACTTCCTGAGCTTCTACACGCTGCCCTCCACCATCATGAACCACCCGACTCACAAGAGCCTGAAAGCTGCTTACTCCTTCTACAACGTTCACACCAAGACACCTCTCATCGACCTCATGAGTGATGCTCTCATACTCGCTAAGTCGGTGAGTGATGGCGGGGCCGGGGCAGCACCACTGGGCACGCCGGGCAGCTCACCGGGCAGCTCACCGGGCAGCTCACCGCTCGCCTGGCCGCCCTTGGGTTTATGGGGAGCGCTGGCCATGGGGCAGGGCTTGTACCCAGAGCCCTGGGTACAAGGATTCTAAAGGATCTGCTGCCCAGGAGAGGGACACAGGGTAGCCTGAACCTTCCAGCTGGCAGTGAGCTGAGCTCAGGGTGTCTACTCATTTCTTACAGCAAACGATATTGCCCTATGTCTGTAGCACTTGAATTGAGGGTGGGTACGCCGATGCGAAGTTCTTCCCTGGTGGCCTCGGCCCCTTCTTCTGGGGCTGCAAAGCTGGGCAGGAGAGGGGGCAGGCAGCTCGCAGATAGGAGGAACTCCCCAGCACGTGAGCAGAAGGAGCTGATGGCTTCGTGTCTTGCCCGTGCAGAAAGGATTCGACGTCTTCAATGCACTGGATCTCATGGAAAACAAAACCTTCCTGGAGAAGCTGAAGTTTGGGATTGGGGACGGGAACCTGCAGTATTACCTGTACAATTGGAAGTGTCCCAGCATGGCACCAGAGAAGGTCAGTGCCTTGGGGTGGTGGGGTCCTCCAGCCCGACCGGTGCGCGGGAAGGGGTCTCGTCCCCGCAGCCCCCAGGGAGATGAGTTTGCCGTCACGCACACCTCGGCATTCCCAGGCCAGCCGCTGTCTGGTGCAGTGTTACCCGCAGTAACGGGTGAATCCAGTGACGGCTCCTCTGTGCTCTCGCCGCTGTGCCTGCACAGAGGGTGTCCCTGGGGAAAAGCGCTCGCCACTTGTCTCCCCAGGCTCATTTTACTCTTGGACTAGTGCAGGTTCAGAGTCCTTAACCTCACGCACATCCGCAGGGATGACCTCTTCCCTCTGTGGAAGGAGGCCAGGTACAGAAAGGAGACGGGCAGAGGGCTGCAGGGTGACAGATGTGACACCGGTGGTTGCGACAGTCACCTGGGAGGTTGTTGCTGTGCCCTGTGAGCCCGCACAGGACCCGGGCGTCACCGCGCAGCCCTGTAGCCTGTGTGTCAGTCTGTCGTGGTGGGGCGAGACGAACAAGAGCCCCTCTAGAGAGAACAGATGAGCTTGAGAGCCGTTGGGTCGTTGTTGAGCAGGACCTCGTGACAAGGGGGAGCTCTGCCAGCGCAGTTGCTCGTAGCATGTGCAGAGGGGCTGAGCCACAGGATCTCTGGGGTGTCACCTTGTCCCCATGGCCAGCAGCTCGCTCCCCACCCAGCGGCTCCGAGCGCTTGCAGCTGCGCCTGTAGACACCCTGTCTGCCTGCCCTGGGCCACTTTTAGGGAGCACCTGGTTGCTACCGTGTCTCTACCCTGAAGATGTGGTTCAGCATCTGCCCGGTCCACAGCCGCCTGGGAGAATCGGATGGTGCTGGAGAACCAGAAGCCGCCCGGCTGTGCAGTGCTGCAGCCTGCCTGCGCTATGTCGCAACAGCTAATTAATGCCTTAACGGCAGTAACGGGACTTTGGTTCCTTTCATAGAGCGTGTGAAGCGAGGTCTGTGGATACAAGCTCATGCGTCTTAAAGCAGCCTTGCTCTGCCACTGAGCCTTTCAAAAAGCTCCAGGAGGTTGCCGAGAGGTTTAAGCAATCCCTTTTCTCGCTGGGAGAGCTGGTGGGTTGGAGATCCTGGTGCTGGGAGCTGCTCTCCGGCTGTATCCTGCGGTGGGGCTGCCCATGGCTCCAGCGGGTTGGAGCCCGGGACCGGCCACCAGCGTGTCCTGTCACACAGCGGCTGGAGAGCACCCAGCAGTGCTGGCTGCCTGCAGAGGGGCCTGTCCCGGTATGAGGCTCTCGGGAAGCAGCTTCTCTGAAATCTGTTGTTATTAGCGTAGAAACAACCTTGGCTTGTAAATCAAGGCTGTCTTGCAGACTGCCCGGGCTTGTCACACCCCAAGCATTGGTCACCTCCCCAGATCGGAGCTGGGCAGGGTCCATGCGCCTGTTCGGCCGTGAGCGCAGGGCTCTTGCTGCTCTCAAATATTCCGAAGTTGGTGGGGGAACCCGCACAGACAGCGCTGAGCCCTCCCAGCCAGCGCGGTGAGGGCTTGCGAGCTGCATCTGCCCAGAGCCGGGTCTGGGGCAGAGGACACTGGTGCTCGGGCACATCTTGACCTGCCATCTCCGTTGGCTCCCCCAGGTTGGACTCGTGTTGCAGTAAGCAAGCCCTTGCCAGGAGAGCGCGGCGCTGCCGAGGAGCCGGGCCTGGCGGAGGTGCTGCCCTCATCCTTTCTGCCAAAGCCGGACCCGTGCCGGGAGAGGTGGAACTGAACCAGCTGCGCAGCCGCCCACCGCCTGGATTCACCGACCGTGTCCCGAAGCGCTGGCCACCGCTCCCCCGCTGGTGTCAGTGGTCTCCTTTGTTTTGATTTAATTGCATCCTCGTAAAGACGTGATCAAGGGAATGTAACTGCTGAAACTAGCTAATGATTGGCATATAATGGAGTTAACGGGTGAATAATAAAAGTATATATTATATATATTTTAAATCTTTCCTGTTCCAAACTGACATGAGTTGCATTCGTCTGCTGAAGGCCGCCTCCGGGTCGCTGGACCATGACTTTTCTCGACGGGGCCAACCGAGGCAGATGCTTGCTGCGCCGAACGGCTCGGCGCCGGCGTGGTGGAGGGGCAGGATGCGGGGGC